CTCTCTCTCTCTCTCTCTCTCTCTCTCTCTCTCTCACCAAATGGGTTATGGCGGGTCTGTCTAGGGCTTGCTGGGTTCCTGGTTGGGGAGTGGCAGGGGAGGGGAGGGGGGGGACTTGAAGGGGGTGTAATGGCTATTGCTGTGCGCAGCGCTGACCATGATGAGGGTTGTTTGACTTGATGATTATCAACAGGCATTGGTGGTGGATGGTGAAGACGCGCCTATCGGACTGGCTTACTTCCACATCCCAGTTCCAGAATTTGAGCGGGCATGGGAATCATCAGCTAAGACAGGGGTGAAGCAGGAGGTGGTTTCCTCTGCAGTCGTGAACTCAGGATTTTTCACTGCTATGCTGGAGACACAGCACATTAAGGCCAGCTTTGTCGGCCACGACCATATCAACGACTATTGCGGATCGTTTCGAGGGATGAAGCTGTGTTATGCCGGGGGTACCGGATATCATGCGTATGGCAAAGTGGGGTGGCCACGGCGAGCGCGGGTGGTCCTGCTGCGGATGGGAGAAGGGGTGGTGGGCTCTGAGCGCAACAGTCAGGTTGAGGAGATATGGTCGTGGAAGCGTCTTGATGATGGTGTCGGGCACGACGGGATGAGCGACATTGACCGGGAGCTGCTTTGGGGCAAGGGCGTGGACGTTGAAGGATCAGGTACAAGTGCCGAAAGTGGACCAGGTACGGAGCAGGATGAACTTGACATGCCGGGATATGATAATGCAGGGGACATGCCGGATGGCCCGAACGAAGAGATGCACGCGGTAGGAAGCCTGGGAAGTTGAGGAAACAGGGTGAGCATTCGCAGTAGATCAGTTGCAAGGGCCGGGAAGGGCTCACAGGCTGGAGGTGGCGTTGACCCCCTTTCTTGCTGCAGTTTTCACTCTCCCCCCCCTTCCCTTTCCTTTCCACCCAACACCATTACCTTCCCCCTCCAATACTCCCTTCTCCCCCGCCATTCATAATTCTGCTCTCTGTAATATATAGCCACCTTACCAATGCCCTCCCCCTCCCAAACCTCCCGAAACACAAGTGCGGCAATTCTGAGTGTCTCAGCGGATTTGGGCTGTACAGGCCAAGCGCAGTACAGTCCTGGCATCAAAAAAAAAAAAAAAAAAAAAAAAAAAACTCAGGGGAAGGTCGTCTGCCGATCGGTCTCCGGGACTGGCCGGCTGCGAACCGTTGGGCGGTTGGTGTCGGCGGTGTGCACACTGCACAGATGTAATCCGGGCGGGCATGGATGCAGAAAGAAAAGATGAGACATCAACTGTCGCCTGGTCAGGGGGACGGGGGACGGGGGACGGGGGACGGGGGACAGTGAGGTATGATGCCTTGACTCATGGTAGTTCTTCACTCCTCATGTGGAAAGACAGATCGTATTAGAGTCTGGAAGAGGTAGAACTGGCCTTCATGCACTGTTGTTCGATGCTGCCGCCCTTCACACCTTTGTTGAATGCTGCTGGTCGGCGTCGTCTTTGTTGCTTTGCTGTCTACAGCAATAAGCACAGAACGAGGGTGTCTACAGGTTCGGTATGGTCTTCTGTTCATTGATGGAACCGGTGGGTATGAGGCGAAGGATATCTGATGGGCAGCATTCATCACTGCATTTCTGACACAAAAACTCGTGGCCACGCCGCGTCAAGCGAGCACTCTCTCGAGTTTGATGTCTGCAAACTCGAGCGTGGAATGTTTTATCACTTTTTTGAAGTTTTTTCTTCTTCTGTTTTTTGTGCGATCGTAGTCCGGATTTCTTTTCTAATTTTGAAACTTTGGAGTCTTAAGGGTATAACAGATGTAGAGTTTTGAAACTTTGGAGAATATGGGCAAATGATCATATACAGTTGGCAGAGCAGTTATCTCTGGGACGTTGGGGTCTGATTTTTTTTTTCTTCTGATGTTATTAAGGGGAATTGTTGGCCGTAGAGTGTGTATCGGTGATGTCCATGTACAGCTGTACGACGCATTACGGAGCGTCTGCAGCATTTCATGCATGCGGTCTTTGACAGCATATTGCAGTTAAGTTGGGGCTTTAACAGGTTGGTATGGTCGAGGATTCCTGTTCATTCTGAGGAGGGTCATTCTGGTTCCTTTTCGAGCTGCGAATCGAGGGGGGGGAAATATACGAACTGATGCACCGACGTGTCCTTCCGTTAAGGCTGAACGGAAGGACCCTTGAAAAGCATTGTCCAGGAGGATTGACTGTCAGGGAGTCCCTTTTTTTTTCTTTGTAGACTCTCCTCGTGTGTCTCCAGCAGCCTTTTTCTTCGTAGACTCTTCTTGTGTCTCCAGCAGCCTTTTTCTTTGTAGACTCCTCTTGTGTCCCCAGCGTATTGGGACCGTCAGATTGACTTGAAAGTTGAAACCAAGAACCTTAGAAAGGAAAAAGGTTCTTGGTTATTGGCTCTGTCTTAGTATATCTAGTGTGCTGTTAATCATATTTATGTTTTTTCCTAAGCTAGTAGTGAATTGGCTAGTCTGCGATTTGGACACGTATTTTCGGAAGTACTGACTTGGGTTAGGAGTCTTAGGACCATTTTTTAATGTCGTCGAAGTACTTCCAACGACATGGGTGTTTTCAAGATTGTTGAGATACTTGTGTCGACGACTTGGGCGTTGTTGTTGCCGTTGGAGGACTCGTTTTCTGTCCAACAGGTAAGAAAATTGTGTGGTTTGTTTTTGTCAATTTTTTTGTTATTACGGACGGCGAAGTTGTGTTAACAACGCTTAGATTCTTTGACTTAATGCTTTTAGTGGTTAACTACTGCAAAGGCTTTTTCAGTGTCCGCAGTATGAGGTATAGACGCGATGATGCTTCTTTTTACGTTCGCGGTGCTGAGCGAGGGATGTTGCCACACAACACTGTAAGTGGGTAGTACAAGGCTGCTTCAATGTTCACAAGACAGATCATGCAGCTGGTGCGACGACGGTTGTGAACGGGGGTGTGGGTTGGAAACAGGAGAGCAGGCACCCTCGAAGACAGATTGCGAGGACAGCACCAAGCGCAAAGGAGATTAACATCTCTTTCTGTGGCTGGCAGTTGATTCAAAATATGATAACGGCGATGCCGATGACGAGGAGGAGCTAGGCGGACATAATACAGAAGGTGCTCGGTACGTATAGGTGGATATGTTGGTCCTTTACTTGTAGAGGGAACGGGAAGGTGGGTTAAATTTTCCCCGCCAGATATTTGTAGCTCTCTCCTTGACCATGAGAACGCCGGGACCACCACCCCGTTACGAGGTTTTGAGGACGAGAAATTGAGAATGAGGGTATCACTTTTTTTTTGAGCATGAGAAAGAGGGCAGGGCAGGAAGTCACAAACATCTGTGATAAGTTTCAACACAGCGTGCTTGCAATCGAATGGTATGACGGACACAGGAAGACAGATACAGACAAAAGAGACACAAGACCCTGATTATGCCAAAGTAGTTTAAGACATGCTTTGCATCAGCCTCTGTTTCTTGTCTCCTCACACTGTTTTCTGCTGATTGGTGACTCTGGCCCTAAGGCCATAACATTCGATTGCAACCTCACATAAATTATCTTTACCTTTATGGTTTGATAGCCTGTCAGTGAATTGTTTGTTTGTTTGTTTGTTTTTTTTTTTTTTTTTTTGGGAACAATGCTCCAATCTATTCGTGGGGAGCCGCACGTGCTGGGAACCTGTCAGTGAATTGTAATGTTGCGTGTGGTTGCAATCGAATGCCCTAGTACGTGTTATATAATGCAATTATTAATTTATTATACAGAACTGAAAGCTGTGCAGATGCATGGAACCATGTGGTACTCTTGAGTTGCTCTCTTCTCTCCACTCTGCCCCTTCAAAGTCGATCCAAGAAGCCACAGTTTATGGAAAACAACCCAGCAGACTCTTGGTTCACGCCCCGTCAAGAGCCAGGATGTCACCAGATGATTGTCCGCCATTGGTGAAGAAACACAACGACAAAGCCATCTGCAACCCAGTCGACCCCCCCTAATAGTGTTGCAGGCACTCTGAACAAACTGATGCCGACTATTTGGCACAACTTGAAGGTACTTGACTTTGGTACTTGGACAAAACATGGGAAACGCTCAAACCACATAACCTGCAGAGAATGACATAGAGAACGCGGTTAGGACGACAACAGAAAAGAGTTGTAATAATAATTTGATTGTGTGTGTATGTGTGTGTTGGAGGGGGGGGAAGGGGGGGGAGCGTGCATGCGGGGATGGGTGGGTGGATGTGAGTGTGTGAGTGATATGTGGGTCATATGATCCCCACCGGCCAGACATTCACATCAGATAACTTCTTCACGGCAAACACGATTCAGGCGGAAGATAGCAAGATCGACCCGCAAACGCGATTCAGGCGGAAGATAGCAAGATCGACCCGCAAACACGATTCAGGCGGAAGAGAGCAAGATCGACCCGCAAACACGATTCAGGCGGAAGATAGCAAGATCGACCAAAAAAGTTCAGCAAGCAAGCAATTCATAACATGTTTTCGATAACTGTCTAGCGCAAACAAAATTCCTACTTCGGACCTAGGTACCCCGCCAGCGGTCTTCACGGAAAACAAGATTCAGGTTGAAGAACATGTTTTACGGATTGCGGGACACTTAGGTAAGCAGTCGGCGAAAGAGAAGAAAGTATGAAGATCAAGTTCCAGAAAGTGGAGAAATAGAGAGAGCATGGAGACAGAGAATCCGAAACCCAGAAAGGCGAGAAATAGAGAGCATTGAGACACAGAATCCAAACAACAATGGCTCCGGTGTCCGGACTCATATTCAATCAATACAACGGTATTACAAGTCTTACAACCTCAACGTTCCTCCTAGTAGGAAGAAGATCACTATTATAATTTATAAGTTTATATACCACACGGCGCACGCCATGTTATTGCCATCTGCAAATTCCGCAGCATGAATTCCAGCAACGATCAACCACGCATATCACATCATCTCCGACTTCCGCGGCAAGAATTCCAGCAACGAGCAACTGCGTGTATCATCATTAACTCCAATCTTGACATACGAACAACAGTCTCTCCCCAATGCAAGCACATTGTGACATTCGTTGCCAGACATAATTCTTGAGCAAGTGCCGCGTCTCACTTCAGCATAACCAGCTGCATCTACGCTTTACGTGAAAAACTTTGAGGGCAAGGTACAGCCACGAATGCAAAATAAGCGAAATGAGGCACCGACAGGCCATGGAATCATTTATTACTAACTGGATGCCTGATCAGGAAATGGACAGGACCCTTGGACCTTCCTTGGTAAGATCAACGAAGCCGAAAATCGCCAGCAGCATAAAAAAAAGATATGCAGCAAAGATATCTGTGAGCGGAAGAGATATAACATGCGGATCAATGATTGACGAGACGTGGCAATGTTACGCCCCAAATTCTATGCCTTCCTATGTGTCCAATCTATAAATAGACCCCAAGAAATGGGGGCAGCGAGGGGACAATCCACAGGAGGAGATGGAAAAATCAACGCAAAACAGCTGAGAGTACAGAAGACAATCAATCAGAAGGAGCGCATCGCTCATGTCAATTAAACTCAATTTTATCATCGTCAAGTGCGCAGCATGTTTTTCGCATCGTTGATCATAGAGACTATCACGGTAGAATCAGTGACTGAGGTGAAGTGGTAACAAGGTAGCCGTAGGGAACCTGCGGCTGGATTGACTCCTTTCCAATACACATACATACATACCCAGATTTGATTTAATCATGATGTCGATCTAAGCATGACAAACTTTCAACACTCCATTGTTAATAGTTATTCATCATCAATTCCGATGTCAACAACCACCAGGCAATATAGCAGAATAAGGGCCAGATCCCACTGGCAAAGAGGATTGGAATAAGCGTTCGAATCTGGACGTGTTTCTGGAGAGGTGCAAAAAACACGTGATTGATCTGCTTTTCTGCATCTCTGTGTACAGGCATTAGCTAAAATGGTTCTAGTAGAACCCGAACGGGAAGAGCCCGTTTTGAACCTCACTCTTATGGATTTAGGCCAAATATTATGGACGTAGTTGTCAAGAATCAAGATGCCATGGAAGCTCTGGCTAGAGCCATTAGAGCCAAATATTATGTGCTTGACGCCGACATTGCGAAATGCTTTGATCGAATCAATGCTTCGTGCCTCTTGGAAAAGAAAAGCTAGACACATATCCTGTGATGAGGAATGAGATTAAGGCCTGGTTGAAAGCAGACATTATGACTGGTTTCGGCCTTCGGCCGCCCATAACTATATATAACTCTGGCGAGCCTCAAGTTATATCGCCTTTGCTGGCCAACATTGCTTTGCTCGGAATGGAGAATGATTCAGCCACTTATTCCAATCCTCTTGGCCAGTGGGATCTGGCCCTAAGGCTAACTGGGGGCCAAAAGAAATAATGGCATGGGCATGACTGACAACATCATGACAAAACAACATACACAAGGACAGCAAATTAGTTGACAATGTAAGTTTTGTGCTAAAAACAAAAGTAGGTCTTGTCCTGGCTACTGCATCCAAAATGCTCCGCATCATATTGCCGCACGGCGGGCAGATCGGAAGGATGGGGAGGTCGGCTAGGCGTGGTGTGGCAATAGCCCTACCACACTCAGCTCCGGGGGAAACAACGATAAGCACGAGTGGCCAGTGTAGCTTGCTCCGCATCGTATTGCCGCACGCCAGGTAGATGGGAAGGATGGGTAGGTCGGCTACGGGTAATGGCGATAGACTGCGGCCAGTGTATAGCTTGCACGGTAGTTCAAGTTTCCATGGATAGAGACAGTGGCAAGTAAACAGTGGCAACTAAACAGGGGTAGGGCTTATTGCCACACCACGCCTAGCCGCACGCATGGACTTGGGATTTCTATTGTCATCATGGATAGAGACAGTGGCAAGTAAGCAGGGGAACAGATGGTGGTAGCATCAGATGAAACCGTCTTCAAGTTTCCATCTTCGGCTGGCAGTGCCAGCCAGCCAAAAAGAGAAAAACATTACTCCATGCCTGTTCTCCTTTTGGAGATCTGCCTTAGGAAAGAGAGGCTAGGGGTAGTACCGTTCTGGTGGTAGAAACGGCCACTTTGCACCCCATGGCTTCGTGTGCACCATAAAGAACTCCCAAGTCCATGTAGATACACAAGTCTTTGAAATAAGTTCAAATAACTTAAATCGCCATCGTCGTGCTTAGAGGGGAGGTGTATGTGCACCGTGCAGTGCAATTTCTGGGGGTGGGGGGTTGTTGAGCAAAACGGATGGCGCCACCCTCCAAAAAAAAAGAAAAGAAAAGAGTGTGCCCACGCCAGTTCATTTTTTGTTTTTTTTCTTTGACACAGAACGAGGAGCCTCGCACGAAAGAGGCTCAGATGTGGTCGTGGTTTAAGGGTCCGTTCCGGGTTTTGCACGCTCGAGAGGGTTCGGCCTTGTTCCCGGTTTTGTAGGCTCTAGAGGATTCGGCCTACTGACGAGTCGGTGAAAATCGGACGAAACAATCTGTCACAACCACTCGCTTGTTGTTCTCTTCTCTTCTTCCTCTCTGGCTACCCTCGTTAGTCAGCGGCCTAGCTCAGTTGAGCTGAAGCCGGATTCGAATTTCAATCGATTTTTTTCAGCCACTCAGCCATACCTCCCGGGAAAAACGGGACTTGAACCCGTGACTTCTGGCGTGACAGACCAGCACTCTAACCAACTAAGCTATTTTCCCATCTGGTAAGGCATACAAGTGGCATTCAGGGAGTTATGGGTGCAATACCCAAAAGCCTCATGTACCTACCTGGGCATACTTGGTGCCCACCATCTAGAGGTAGATTGGTGGCTCCCCGATCAGCATTACACCACCAGAACACAGCTCCAGCCTTGCTGAAACAGTTTTGTCTCCTACTCCAAAAAAATCGCGCTCGGGCATACTGGATCATAATGGGTAACCACCAGTCCCCCCGACATTAAGAAGTCGGGGGGACCGGTAGCACACGGTAATTAGGGCTACCGGTAGGACCGTGTGGAGGACGTGCTTAGTGGCAAAAATGGAAAATGCGCTGAATTGCTGCCGCGGTTTATTTCGCGGTCAAAACATTTTTTTTTCATTTTTTCAATTTTTTTGATATTTTTCCTCAAAAGATGACGACCTAATCTATTAGGACACCAATTTTCAGAAGTTGTTTTGTCTTGGTCTGAGCGCAAAAAAATCACTGAACTTAGGGCAATTTTCCGTTCACCCATAGGTGGCGGAGTGGCAAAAATGGAGAATATGCCGATTCGGCATGGCAATTTATTTATTTATTTTTTTATTTATTTTTGCCCCCTGGAAAGATCTCGACCTAATCTACCGGATCCCAAATTTCCAGATTTTTCTGTGCATTATTCGGGGGGGGGAAATCGCCAAAGTTAGTGCTCGAAAATTGTGCAACTGGACCCGCTGGTTGCCTGTTGGTCGGTGCCCCCCCGCCAAATGCGCCCTGTACTCACCGGAAAGCTCATTTTCGTCCGGCGGGGGGACTGGTGGTTATGGTCGGCAGCGCCAGCCAAAAAGGAAAAGAAGTGTGCGGCTGGCAGTTCCGCAAAGCTTGGCGCACAGTGGAGGTGCCCCAGCCCCAGCCCCAGCCCCAGGCGTACCGGCTGTTTAAGCAGATACTGCTGCTGATGTTCGTAGGGGGAGAGGCCCGGAGAGGAGGCACAGCGACTGGCCACTCGTACTATGACGCGTGGTTCTGACGCTACCGACTGATATTGTCCACCTGCTGTAGCAGGTATCCTACAGCAGGTGGACAATACCGGCTAGATCGTCCATGTTCCAGGTGAAGCTTCACCATGTTCACGACTGGCCACTTGTATGACACGCGGTCAGTCGGTAGCGTCAGAACCTCTGCAGTTTCCATCAGGAACGCGGTGAAGCTGCTACCGGCGTTCCCTAACAGCGGCGGCAAGTCCAGAAAAGGCCATCTTGTCAGATTCAACAGAAGATCGAACTAGGTTGGGCTACTTAGCTTATATATATATATATATATATATATATATATATATATATATATATATATATATATATATATATATATATATA